TCATTCTCTCTCTCGCAAATAAATAAAATCTTAAAAAAAAAAAAATTTAAATAAAAAAAGAAAGAAATAGTCTTATAAATACATACACAAATGGGGAAGAAGAGCTAGTTCTTCCTCACAATAGATTTCCATTAATAAATGCAGAAAGAAAGAAGGGAATAAAGGATCATCATTACAAACAGTATTGTAATAAACATTACAGACAGGGTTCTGTAATGGATGCTGAAGTTAGTGCGTGCAAGTTTGAGAGGGACAGGATTTGCATAGTCTCCAATATCTTTCCTAAGATACTCACAACTACAAAGGACAGAATAGTAATTTTATATTGGAGAGATTTGGTTGACACCTAACTTTTACCAAATTATCAAGATAAACAGCACCAGAAATGAAACATACCAATGTCATGAGTAGTACTCTCCAAAAGCATCAAGTTCATAAAACATAAGGAAAGACTGAGGGTCTTTTATAGGCTGGAGGAGACTAAGGAGAAATAACTAAATGCAGTGTGAGATCCTAGAATGGAAGAAAGAAAAACAATGGTGAAATTCAAATAAGATCTTTAGCTAATAGTGTGGTACCATGTTAAGTGCTTCTAGATAATTGTATTATGGTTATATAAGATGTGAACACCAGGGGACGTGGGCTAAAGGATTTATAGGAACTCATTGTACTCATTTTGTAACTTCTTTAAGTGTAAAATTAAAAGTTTTTAATAAAAAAATCATGGTATAGACTTCTGAGAGTTTTAAGTTGTCAACAGTAGAAATTCAGGTGACTTATTGATGCTTCATTTTTATTTTGTTGCACCAAGATTTTGTACAATATTGTATATACGGTCATTGGAGAATGAATACATAGCTGTAAAGTGGTGGGGTTTATTCTAACTCAGCATAGTTTTTTCCAGTTGTAAAGTTTTTTCCATTGTGTTTGCATCATTATAGACACAGACAAGGGGGAAATGGCTTTCTTTAAAAACTCCGTTTTAATGTTAAAGCCTTCCCATAAAGTTCGTTTGTTTACTATGCATGGCAATATTCTCTTTTAAAATAATTACCAAATTTTGTTTAAAAGGTTTTACTTACGAGAAACATATGTCCTGTAAAAATCTATGGTTTTGAGGGTATTTATTTAATTCATTTGGTTCAGAGGGCTCTGAATTGTCTTCTTTATATGGACCATGGACACAAATGAATCCTGTATTATATTTCTCAGACATATTTTCTGATTCATCAGCTACTATGACTGTGCTTCGTTCTACCTATGAATATGGAGGATGAAGTTATTTCTTAGTAACTATGAAACTATTGGTGGAAAGATAGGGGGTAAAAACACATGGGGAACTTAAAGCGGTTTGCTCAAATCTGTCTTTACCAGGAAAAGGCTCTTGTTTATTTCTTTAAAGGATGGATTTAATAATAAATGTTCTCATTGCTCTAAAGAGGTATCTGTCTTAGAATTGCACCAGACAAGCATAGTGCTGCTTGGATGTGGCAGAATTTATGAATTCGTGAGATGGGTTTCTTACATCCTTTTTTTATTCTTACTTGATATATTGTACGTGAGAGCAGTGCCTTGGGCGTGTAAGTAGTGGTGTCCTCTAGTAACGCAGAATTACTCTTCGCTTTGCTGTCATGAGTCTATGAATTCGGTCCGTCATACAGAAACAATCACTATAATGTAAGCACTTACTGTCTTCATGCAGCTGATTCCCCGGTGACATTTTAAAAAGTCAGGCTTTGGCTGCAGAGTGCTTTCCATTTCTAAATGGGCTGCAGATTTGGGAGCCTTAGGGCATTTCATAGGAAGCACATGACCCTGAGTAGACACAGCAACTTTTGTGTGTCTGTAGCCACGTTGATGACCAGTGTTTACCCTTGAAATTGTTTTCATCCAGAATGTTGTTTTTTTTACTTTACATTTAATTATTTGGTGCTCACACTAATTTACTACAAATGTCTAGGAGTAGAATGAATGGCTGAATAGAGGCTGGACTGTTTGTCCAGGGTTTTTATACACTAGGTGTGGCTGTAACTTACGAGCTACTCCTAGTGGTCTCTCCACACACACTTCTCAGTGTCTATAAATTCAGGTCTTGGTTTTCACTTTATTCGAGAATGAGAAGGGCATTTGAACCCAGGAGCACTCAGAAATACATTCACAGGTTTTACATGCATTCTCTTCTGAAAGTGAGAAGCCTAAACTCCCAAAAACAATTTCAGGATTTTTAAAATAAGTTCTACTTTCACAACAATGTGTACGTATTATCTAAATGGAAAATCATCTTCCTGCCCCTCTGGCTGCCACAGTTACAGCTGTTATTGGAATTAGTAATGAGTGACAGTTCTGAGAGACTCTGGGGACCGTGCTCTTCCTGGTCTGTAGTCAGGCTGCCTGGCCTCACAGAGATGCCATTGGTTAGAAAGAGGAGAGGGTGATTGTTCAGCATAAAACGCCAGGCTCTGCAGCGTGACCTTTACTGGGTGAATTGGTGGTGATGTTCAATACATCAGTTTCTTTCTCTACTCAGTTGTGATTCTTGTAGCAATATACAAAACCATAGAAAAGTAGGTCCTGTGATATCAGAGCAGTTAGCCTGACCTAGCATGATCATAGACCATAGTACCAGAGGGTGATGCAGGGAGATCCATATGTGCTTGCATGCATGTATGTATGTATGTATGTATGTACCATGTAGGTATGTATATTTGTCTATTTCGGTCTTTCAGTTTATTTTAGTAAAGGAGGAGATTACAAGATAAAGCAGCAAGGTCTTCATGCCCTGAGAGCTAGCACCTTGAGGATTGGGCTAAATTCAGTTGCCTTCTTCAATAATATTTTTAGTCAAAATGTATCTAAACCTCTGAGCCAGAAAGTGAGTTGAGATCTCAAGTACCTCTGATGATTCTTAAATTTCAAAATCCTGTCTCCTGCCTTCACATGATTCATTGTCTCCCTTTAGTTAATAACAATAATAAGTATCTTTTCCTTTAATTCATATGCTCAGATTAAGGGCCATTAAATAACAAAGTTTTATTAATATTTGTTATGCTAATGAAGGGATTAAAGGAGTAAAAGACATGATTCCTGTCTCAAGGAGCTTACATTATAGTTTGAAGACAAACTGAGCACACATTAAATAAATGGAAATCAAATAGATGTTAATAGGTGCTGTTGCTTTATTAGCAATAAAGATCAAAAAAGTTGCAGAATACTTCCCTGTTTGATGCTAATATATACTACATTTTATAGTAGTATGTTTTATGTTTTTTCACAAAGGTCTTCTGTGTTTATGTTAAATCTCTGATTAATTATAAAGATTGTTTTAGAAATTGGTCGCTATTTCTACATTGAATAAATATTTACCAACGAAAAACTGTTGGCCACTCTGCATGCCTGGCCACTTGGAAACTAGTTCAAACTCAGGAGGAGGAGTTTAGTTCATTAGTCTTGGATTTTGTTAAGTGCGTTAAAGTATATGTCAGATCTCTGCTGCTAATTTATTTGTGAGTTTGGGAACTCCTTCAGTAAGAAATGAAACTTCTCAGGAGGTCATTTGCTGAATAATGATTATCCATGTTTCTTCTTCGTTTTACCAGAAAGGGGCAATGTAGCCCACTTTTTGAGCCCTGTCTCTTTCAATATGGGACCGTACCTTCTGTAATCGTTAAATTAAATAAATGTAACTTTGTCTTGGTTTTTGCACAATTGCAGTATTAATGTAGAGGGCTCCCCATCCCCGCTTCCCTTCCTGTGTTTTCCAGGCAGTCAGATGCCTCCTCAGCCACCCGGGAGCCAGTCAGAATCCAGTTCCCATCCTGCCTTGAGCCAGTCACCAATGCCACAGGAAAGAGGTCAGTCTTCAGTTCATATCTTATATATCTTTGTGTTTTGAATATATAAGACTTACATGAATTTGGTCATCTTTCCATCTCCTTATAGATAATGTTTCTTCATCAGATGAACAAAATAAGAACATACATTTGTACAACAAATATGGAAGAGAAGGATGCTTTCTTGCAGATTAGGTGAAGTTTGACCAAGCACAGTTCAAGACCCAAAGAATATATAGGTCCACATAGCACCCATGAAGCATAGTTTATACATGACTATAGCCTGACAGTTGATCTAGCCAAGTAAAAGTGACTGTTAATGATGCGATTTGGATATCAGTCCTAATGAAGTAAAATGTTAGAGTGTGTGTATGTTTAACTGTTTTGATCAATTATATATCCCAGGATACTTAAACAGTAAAGATTTAAACACAGAGTAAGACCTTGTATTATATAATTGTAGTATCTTAGAACTAGAGCCAACCCGAGAGATTGTAGAGTCCCATCACCTCAACTTAACAACTAAAGAAACTGAGGACCAGAGAGCATCCATAGGACTTCCTCGTTGTCAGAGGATAGTTAGGGCCAGAGCCAGAAGAAAGAACACAGGCTTTTCCTGAAGCCCTTGGACACGTGGGTTGTCCCACATCTGCAGACTCTTTGATCTTTAGCTCAGTTGTGCACATTCACCCCACATATTATTGCCTTGGTTGCGGCCTTTGGCCCTCATTTGTTTATGTCTGTCTACTTTCTCTCCTTCTGTAGTAAAGCTGCTTTTGTTGGTGGTGATTTTCATCCAGACTAGTGTAGACCAGGGTTTACACGCCTACCACACCTACCACACCATGTGGTGCTGTGTCACCTCACTTCCCCCGCCTGTGAGCCAGTGGGAGCACGTGAAGCATGTCACTTGTGCTCTCCCTCATGCGCATCCAGAAGACAGAAGTGGCTAGCTTGGTAGCTGCTGTTTAAAGGCTCCCGCCCCTCACTCTTATAATTATGCCTGTATGAGTTGTACAGATGATGATTTGCTTCTAATTGGAATTAAAAGGTTTCAGTTATTTTACATGTTTAATAACTCAGCGCCTCATGCTTTAGAAAGTAATGCCAGTCAGAAGATGGATTAGTCCTAGCTATGTATCAATTGTGTTAAAATGAATATTTAGTAGGAATAAAGTGAAATTTTTATTTTCTGATACCGCTACATATTTAACTTTTTAATTATAATTTAATGTATAGCTAACACATTAATTCCCTTATTGAGATACTACAGTATGTCTTGCTAATGGGATAGTTAATGGTTTCCAAACTACAGGGTATATAGGAATTACCTGGAGAACTGGTTAAAAGAGACTTCTGGGCCCCACACAGCCCCAGATTTCTGACTCAGTAGGCTTGTGGTGGGCCACTTAAGATCTGCATTTTGGACACGTTCCCAGCTATTGCTGATGCTGCTGATCTGAGGACCATACTTTGAGAACCACTGCCTTAATGATACTATAATATGTTCTGATAATTGTGTGGTATGTGCACTTGTTTCTCTAAACTTCCCACTGAATCCTCCTGCGAACCAGTCTTGCACCTCACATCCTTTTTTTGTGTTAACTCCTCGGGTCTCGGGTCCTCTGGAAGTTCATGGAGGGCATCCTGGCACCACGCAAGGGGCAGTTCTCTCCAAACTCCTTCACTTGCCCTTGGGTTGCACCTGCGTTGTGTCGCCAGGTCAGGGAGGTGGAGAAAATGAAGCATGAGAGACACTGTCCTGCACTGGAAACCTGCTCGGGCCAGAGCCAGAGCTAAGATGAAGACATTTGTCATTTCCTTTAACGCTCACCATAACCCTGTACCGCCATTCCCACTGGGGGAGTCCACTTCTCCGGCAAGCATCCAAGGGTAAGAGGTTCCCTATTTGGAAGTACTACAATTCTCACCTTTATTGCTAAGAATTAAAAGAGAGAAACCCCTTCCAGATCGTCCAGCAATGTGGCCCCCAACCTCTTCCAGCTAATATGTGTTTAAGAAATTGGAAAATGTAGGGCGCCTGGGTGGCTCAGTCGGTTAAGCGACTGCCTTCGGCTCAGGTCATGATCCTGGAGTCCCTGGATCGAGTCCCGCATCGGGCTCCCTGCTCGGCAGGGAGCCTGCTTCTCCTTCTGACCCTCCCCCCACCCATGTGCTCTCTCATTCTCTCTCTCTCAAATAAATAAATAAAATCTTTAAAAAAAAAAAGAAATTTGAAAATGTAAAAAGCCAAATGTGACCCATGCTGACACAATGAGAAAACACAGTTAAATTAAACTTTTAACTTAAACAGGCGCCTGGTGGTGCAGTCAGTTAAGCATCCAACTCTTGGTTTTGGCTCAGGTGGTGATCTCAGGGTCCTGAGATCAAGCCCCACGTCGGGCTCTGCGCCCAGCATGGAGTCTTCTTAGGACTCTCTTTCACTCTCTCTTTGCCCCTCCCTCCTGAAAATAAATAAATAAATCTTAAAAAAAAACTTTTAGCTTAAACAAATACATTAGCAAGCAAAATCTAGAGTTTTCTTCTGGTGTCACTATGTAAAAACCATTGTGTAGATATGTTATTTTTTTTCCATCTTCATTGTATATAGTGTGGTTTTGGTAACTGCTAATGGATACATAACAATCTGGGTAGTTATAATGTCCATTTCCTTCAAATAGCAAATATAAATTTTATAATTTGCTAAATCTGAACTGATTTTTATGAATACGTTCCCCAAACTTTCTCTGAAAGGCTGCTAAAGATGTTATGTGCATCCCTTATGTGCCTTTTGTTGGATGGACAGCCCCCTAAAGGGGAAAACTTTGTATTTCCAAATAGCTCGTAAATGATGCTTTGCCATGGGGTGCCTAGGTGGCTCAGTCGGTTAAGCATCTGCCTTCGGCCCAGGTCATGATCCTGGGGTCCTGGGATCGAGCCCCGTGTCAGGCTCCCTGCTCAGCAGGGAGTCTGCTTCTCCCTCTCCTTCTGCCCCTCCCCCTGCTTGTTCTTTCTCTCTCTCTCTCTCAAATAAGTAAAATCTTTAAAAAAAAAAATGATACTTTGCCATGCGTGAGTTAAATTTCTACCAAAATTGGACAGCAAAGATTTTTTTTTTTTTGATGGCTTTGTTATTTGTTAAAATCTAGGAAGAAATGTTAATTCTTAATGATATTTGATCAGGTATTTTAGTGACAAATGACACAGTCATTATAATGCTTTGATAGAATATAACATTTTTCTTGTCTGTTTTATCATCATTGGGTGTGTACCAACAGTATATACAGTACAAAGTAGATTTGAGAAAACACTTGCTAGAAAATTCCCTGGTGTTGAAAATTCCCCATGTATTGAAAAGTAATTTAGCTTCATGTATGCCTTTACAATTGATATATCCACCTGCCCCTATTGAGGGAAGTGAGGAAAGAAACAGAGAGGAAAAAAGTATGTTGATGAGTTAGCATCTTCAAAAAAAAAAAAAACAAATTCTCTCTTAGAAACCATGGACCTTGATAGACAAGAACATAGCTCCCATGCTGCTGAGTACTAAAATAACCAAGTTGAGCAATTCCTTTTACACTTACTTTGTTTTAATAAGTAAGATTAAGATAAGAGAGTAAGATTCCAATTACACACATCTTTAATGTATCTACAGGGGGAAGTGCCTGGGTGGCTCAGATGGTTAAGCATCTGCCTTCAGCTCAGGTCATGATCCCAGGGTCCTGGGATCAAGGCCCACGTCGGGCTCTTGGCTCAGCGGGGAGTCTGCTTCTCCCTCTCCCTCTGCCTCTCCCCCTGCTCATGCACTCTCTCTCTTTCGCTCTCTATTTCTGTGTCTCAAGTGAATAAATAAAATCTTTAAAAAAATAAAAATCTACAGAGAATAGATTTTCTCTAATAGGAAAGAATCTAGAAACATACTTGCCTGGAGACAATGGCACAAAGCAAGAGATGCAACCTACTTCTGTTTGGTGGTGTGGTTTTCTGGGTATTCCCCAGAGTCCTCATGAAAGACAGCAGGACTGTTAATGCTACTCAGAAGCCTGGCTCCCCCCAGGCTCAGGAAGCTGAACTCTTGCCCTGCCATCATTCCTTCCTACTTGGTCCTTGGATTCCTGTTCAGGAAGAACACGTATTAATAAACTCTATACTCTGTTGTGAATTTTGCAAACTTCAAGCTGTCCTGGGATCTGAACCACATTTGTATCTGCAAGGCCATGTCCTCTTCCCAGAGCTGGTTGCTGAGTCAGGTGCAGAGTCGGTATGCTGCCCAGATTCCCAGCAGCCCTACAGTGCCCTCTGATCTGGTGGGTCTGGGGCCAAGTCTGTCTAAGGTCATCAGTCACAAATCCATTTCCCCACGTTGTATGTATGCAAACATAACTGAGTTTCTGCAGTTTTATATTTTCCATCTACAAAAGCTATGTTTGCAAGGAAATATGGATATGGCCAGTGTCCCCAGGTACAAAGAAAGGGAAACATTTTAGGTATTTATTGGCCTCTTTGCTGTCCTATAGTGCTGTCCCTACACTCTGATCTGCTCTCCCGTACAGCACCTGGCTTAGCGCTCTCCTCTTTGCCCCTCATGTGGTGCTAGAACCTCCTACTAACTGAATAAAGAAAATGAGTTCAAATTCTTTGGTCTTAACTGCTTCATTATTGATGTAAGTTTAAAAGAAGAAAGGTCAAAACTTCAGTTTAGTCTTCTTAACACATTCGCCACTGGGTTTTATCTTAAATCTTCTCTCTGTAGTCCTCACATAACAAAATGAAGAATTGCTGTTAAAGCCCTTCACCAAAAAATCAAGCAGTATAAATTATGCCACCCAAGGCATTGGAGAAAGCATCCAGATAATGCTAAAAAAACCTAAAATAAATGTTACGAGAAAATCTTAGCTAACAAGTTTAGGTTAGTTTTATCCTTCTTGTATAATCTTCAACTTGTATATCTTAAAATTTGAAGAGAGCAATAGGAAATGGTTTCATAATGTGTTGCCCTGTTTTCCAAGAGGGCTTGGAGG